TGTTCTTTTGTTAAAAAAAAAAAAAGAAAAAGAGTCTTTAAAATTCAATTTATGTCCAATTGGTCAGTAAATTTTTAAAAAATTTGAAATATCAATGACCTGTTAGACATAAAATTCTGCCCAGAATTGAAAATTTAAGGATCCATTGGACGTTTTTTAAAGTTCAATTATCTATTTAACACAACCTTCAAAATTTAGGGACAAAACTCGGTAACTTAACAAAAATAAATAAATAAATATCATTTTTTATATTTTAAGATAATCAATGAAATTAACATTCAAACCTAGTTTTAGGCCTTACCGTCCAAAAGCCTAAATAGGCCCATTATTATCTTGTTAATTACTTATAGCCTCTCTAAGCTTTATTATGTTATAGAGTCAATTTCTAAGCTAACTTTTAGAATTGCTTCAACTAACACACATTACATTGGTGTACTCTAACTTCACAATCAAATAGATATATCAGGATGATTGACTTTCAACCATATCTACGTATTATTGATTAAATGACGACACATGACATGTCATTAGATAAATGATGACTTTTTATTTTATATCCGTAGATATTCAAGTCAGCTTGTGCATATCTCGACTAATTTCAAAATACTATGTCCTAGGTAAATGGTTACCATGTTTTGAACTCACTCACCCTAAACCCTTTTATTATTTACATTAGCTTTATTGACCATTGGGCCAAACTATTCCCACTCGTAGGAACATAAATTATGGCTAATTTAGCACCTATAATAAACCAACGAGAAAATAAAGTAGACAATTGTATAAAATAAAATATAACACGATTTGTGAAAATTATAGTTTGATATATTGTTTCGAAATAAGGGTATGTTGCATATATCACTTTATTTCGTCTTTTTAATTAGCTTTGAGAAAAATGATATTTTGTTGTTTTGAAATGTAATTTGAGTAAATACTATAGTTAATTGGATAAATATTAAAAATGGAAAGAGAATGTTTCCCAAAAAAAAATGGAAAGAAAATAAGTATATGGTTGAAAATTCTAAAATTTGGAATTAGAGGAAGTTAGAAGCCATGAAAAGCATGATGCATTAGATATTTATTAATTTCTGGTGTCAAATTATTTTTGAAAAGAAAAGAGAGAAAAATATTGAAATGGGCATTAATGTCATTGACCCATTGTATTTAATTAAAAGGAACAATGATAGTTGTAAAACCAGCCTTAAATTTAAAGGTTTCCACAGTGGAAAGGACAAAAATACCATCACAATAAAGATGGAGGCCATTATAATCAATTAATGACTACACTCGAAGGAGTGAGTAAATAATTGCAAAGACAACGGAATGTCATAATTATTTTTCAATGGTAAAAAGAAAGATAAATAAATAAATAAAAATAAATACTATTTTTCGTAATTTTGGTTCATGTATTTTAAAAAACGTCTATTTTAATCTTTGTATTTCTAATATTTGTTCATTTTAGTTTATTTAGTATGTTCATTTGGTCCTTGTATTTTCTAAAAATAACTATTTTACTCTATTTTCATTTTTATTTCATCTCTTTCGATAATAATTTTACTATAAAATTTCACTCACTAAATTTTTTGAAATATAGTAATAAATTTGTATTCTATAATTTTCCTATAAAATTTGTGTTAAAATGAACAAAGAATCGAACTCACAATTTGTTGGGTTGAGATATATCTCAATTACCGTTGAACTGTATTTGATTTGACTATCTATACCATCTGTGGTAAGATTTCCATAATAATTGTTTAACCACCAAAGTCTCAATTTCATATTAAACTTTTTTCAATATATCTCATGTTTCCATTTAACAAATTTGACATAGCAATAAAATAGAAAAACCATTAATTTCGCTTGGCTAGATTGAAAAACCATTCATTTCACTCGACTCGACTTAAAAAGGAACACTATATAAAATATAAACAACTAAAAAAGTATTTTGTCACAAATTTCAATATAACCTAAATGGTTAAGACATTAGTAACATTCTTTAAAGGGTGGAGGTGCGAAGCCCCACCTCACATTTGTAATGCTCCTTCAAGTGACTCGTAGAGATGGAGATTTGAACTTCCGACCTTTAAAGAAAAATTATTGATATTTTTTATTTTTTGAAAAAACCCCTATGACACACCACTTTCCATCCTTTTCTTGGTTGCCAAACACCAATTAAGCAATGAATTTCCTTGGGGGATATTTTTTTTTCTTCCTCAAAGGAAAACACACCCCATTAAATTTTCCTTGCTCTTAAATAATACTTTCCTTTCCTTGAGCTGCCATAGCTTTAAACAGCTATAGCAGCAACTTGAATGTGGGTGTCCTTTTTTAAAATTAAAATATAAATATATAAATATATATATATATATATATATTTATATTATTTTATATTACTCTTCACATAGAGCATTGAACAATTTTGACTGTTTTATTTGCCCAATATAGACCAAGAGCATCTAGCTAGGATCATAGGGTAAAATTAAAACATAAAAACTATACTTTATCTCTAATATTTTTATCATAGCCTCCCTCTAGCCTTTTTTGGGTATTCTTCTAAAGTTTTTTTTTCTCTTCTAATTATAAAAAAATGTTCGAAATCAAATCTCTGAGATTTGTGAGATTAGATTAGTGTCGGTGAGAAAGAGAAGACCTTCGTCGAAAAATAATCAAACAAATTCAACATTTCATGAAAATTCTCAAAAGAGAAATTTCATTTTGTTATTTAGTTGTAAAATGTCAGAAAAAAATAATTTATAGATTAGTTTTATTTTTTTTCTTTTCCTTTTTAACAAAATTATTACAAAACATGGCTCATTTTATTAATCTTATAAGGTAAATACTAATTTCAAAGACTATAGTCTAAAATGAATATGATCAAAACTTTTGGTTAAACTAGATTATAATAATTGGATAAACACCAAAAAAAAAATTGATGTGAGAGAGAAAAACCATTTAGAGAGAGAGAGAGAGAGAGAGAGAGAGAATCTCATATGGGTATTAATTTGAAGATAAGCAATGTGGGTGAATAATGATGAAATAATTGCAACTTTAAAGAGTGATTATTCTCATTTGTTTGGGCTCATAAATATAATTCACCAAACCAAACAAAGCCCATTAAGAGGCCCACTAAGCTATTGTCCCTAAAATCCAAACCCTATGAATATATCTAACCTTCTCAATTTAATCAACT